TAGGAATAGGAAAGAACATAGAGCTGAGGGTGACCACGCACAGACAGAGGCAGTGACCTTGCCAACAGGGCTGCACCAAGTCAGGCAAGCAAACAGGGTTGGGATAGCAACAGGTTCTGCTGACAGTCCAGTGATCATCAGACAAATAAGAGGTGACCTCTTGTCACCTCAAACAAGAGGTGACCCACATAGCTTGGGTGAGGAGTGGGGCTCCCAGGTGGAGGTCCCAGGCAAAGCTGCCCAGGACAGTTAATTTCTGGTACACACAGGGCCCTGTCATTTCTTGTTGGATTAACATTACATTTCACTACATAGATATTTTAAAAATTCACAGAAATAAAAATAAATCTTATGTTAGAGACAAGAACAAGCCTCAGGCTCTTGTGCAAACATTGTAGTCACAGAAATTTATCTCTTCTAGAGAATCATTTCTATTGACATATGCGATACATATGTTTACAAAGGATCTTAGAAAGAACATAAATTACTTAGTGAAAGAAAGAGATGAAATGGTTAACAATCAGGAAGGAGTAATGGCTTAGTGTTCTGTCAAGAGTACTGTATTCTTTTTTCACACATTTCAAAGTGCTTCAAAGAAGCTGAAGAAACTGAAGCAGAGCAAATGAAGGAATTGTACCTAAGTCACACAGCAGAGCAAGATCACAGAACAAAGATCTCTTGAATTTACAGTGGATAAAAATCTGAACCAAAAACCACAGCACTATGCTGTTGCAAAGACAAACAAGCAAAACCCCAAAACATATTGGTATGTCAATTTTGTCCCCAATATGTCCCTTTTTTCAATCAGGGGATAACCACAGAAAAACAGAGCTGTTAAGAAATCCAGCGAGGTCACCTCATCCATCACCATAACCCAAACTAGGATCAAATAGATGAGGTACGTGCTCCAGATTACAGTTGACTGAGATTAAAATTTTAATGCGAATCAGTTTCCTCACACAGACAACCATATAGCCCCAGAAAAGCTTATGCTAACATAAGGCAGCATGACAGAAAACAAATAGCCAGGGGAAGAGGAAAGGCAGGGATGGCCAATACCAACCAGCTAGTTTACACAAGTATGAAGTGCTGAACTATGGTGCAACTTGTTCTCATTGCCTATGTTCCTTGTTACTTTCTTAAACAGTATTTTTCAGAATTGCGAAGATTATTTCAAAGTTTTATTCCCTTACCCTCAGCTTTGTTTCACCTACAAGATTAATAACCATATTCTCAATTCCACCAGCTATACTGTTAAAAAAATATTCAGTAATATATTCTTTCTTTCTGAGGGTGAACTATTGTGTTGGCTATTCAACCAGCTGCATATAACTCTTATAACAGATTTATCTAGACCATGTTTCTTTAACTTCTTAATGAAAATGTCCGCTTAATTAGTTTTTTGACGCTCATATGGTAGGAGGTCATCTGTTTCTGTACTTTCCCTAATTCCTATTCTTCATTGGAGGAAAAAAAGAATCAAGTTATCTGATATGATTTATGACATGTTCATGCTGATTGCTCTCATTTGCTGGTTATCATCTAGGTGCTAATAATAGTTCATGTGATTAATTGTTCCAGAATTTTTCTGGGGATTGAAGTTAATTAAATTGACCAATCTGTATTTCTCAGTTCCTGCATCCCTCTTAAATAATAGCAATTTACTGTTGCTTCTTCTCTTTTTCAGCATCTCATTCATCTTCCTAAAGCTAATAGATATAATTGTTTACGGTTCTGATATTAATCAGTCAATTCTTTAATTATCCTTGGATCATACTGATCAGACTCAGATAAATCATGTTTTCAAATCGTATGAGTGCTCATAATCTGTTCTTTTCCCAGTCTGAGCTAAAATCTTGGCATCACTCTGCTTGCAGGTGATCTTTTTGTGAAGTTTGATAAAACAAATGAAGTTGAATGGGCTTCAAATGGTTCTTATTATGATTGCAATTTGTTTCCTTTCTTTATGATTTTGAATATTATATGAATAACATTTTTATATATTAAACATATATCATTTTCCAAAGATTTATTGCCACCTTAATTGCAAAGTTTCTCTATTTAACAATTGTAAGAAAATTCCACCCCCCACCAAGAGATAGTCCCAATAGCAATAGTATGGCAGTGTGTTTCTTTCCCTGTTTCTAAAACATAAGAATACCATTTATTAAGATAAGCACAGATAACTTTCTCGTAGGGGGTCTACCAGTTGGATCATCTCCTGTTCTGAACAACCTGGAACAGATCCATCTCTTTCCACTCCGTTAACCACATAGGGTAGAACAGCTACATCTGCTAAAAGCCACAGCAGACAGTCTTGTACCTTGTATCTGTGTTTCATCTCGTCTCTCACCTTTTGCGGTGTCTGCAGGCTGCTTCTGGGAATTCTCATTTCCTGAACTCCTCTTATGTGAAGTGAAAGCAACCTATAATCAGAGGAGCAATACACTGTCAGGCATTCCTACCTCAATTTCTTCAGAATCTTTTCACAAGGAAATCACTCTTATGCACTCACACCCTAGCAACCCTTTTCTTCACAACTGGATATACGCAAGAGATCTAAATGTGTGGACAAGTGAGGAAAAGGCCAGAACATGAGCACAGCAATGATCAGTTTTGATGGGCTGGTGACAAGTCCATGGTTGCATCTGTATTTTTGAATTAGCCTGAGCTGGAATGCTGTTTTGGAGAAGCCAGTAGTTTCTCAAAACACACAGAGGTATCAGCTACTGTTATCTTTTACACCCCTGAGCTCCTATACCTTTAAGATGGGTCTGGTAGGAAAATTGAAAATTTAGAAAGCCCCTGGAGACAGGAAGGAAGCATGGAAGCAGGAGATGGTTGGGACATTCCTTAGGCTTTCGGAACTCTGAAGCTAGCAACACTTAGAGGTACAGAAAGGAATCAGGAAGGAGTTGGGGTTGCGTGGGGAGAATCAGGGAACTGCAAACTCTGAGGTAAGAGAATGTAGAATATATACATACATATGTATATGTATGTATATATATGTATGTATATATAGAGAGGGAGAGAGAAAAAAAAAGTTTTGTTGCTAATGATTTTTTTTCCCTTCAGATGAAATTTCACTTCTCACATCATCCATTACTATCATCATTTAACAATCGTGAAATTTTGGCAAGAAATTGGATTACTTGCCTACATGCAATAAAAATTATATTCTGCACTGAAATTCAAGAGTCCATATAACATAAATGTCTATGGAATAAAAAGTGTTCCAGAAGATATATCAGTGTTGTATCAGCATAGTTATTGCAGACAGTCCTCAGAATATCCTTGACAACCAACAGTGTAAGAATAACTCAGAAGCATACAAAAGCTATAGTCTTTGAAACACGGTCTATTTTTCATTAAATCTATGTAAAGAGGTCTGATTCCCCCACTTGTGATAATGCAAGCTCCCAAAATCAAATGCATGTGCTTCTGATAAACTGAGCACTCTAGATTTGCTGTTACACTATGATAATTGTCACACACATGCTGCGATGCCATACAAACTGTTCCCAGTGCAACATGCCTTACTGAAAAATGATGAGTTGTATCCAGGCAAGGGCAGGCTCTCTTAAATGAACTCCATACCGTGAGCCAGGGTGTATTCATGAGTCTAGCTACCTTGGCATTATGCCCCTAATCCACCGTCCTACCTAGAGTTTCATCTGCCTTTGTCCTTCAGATTGAAGCAGAATTGTGTATTTGCTGTACAGTTATTTCACAAAACCATAAACCAGTTGACTGTGTGAACCAAGTCTGGCCTCTGTTTGCAAACATTCAGCTTTGCAGGTGTGTGTGTAAATCATTTATGCATGCACATAAGTGGTGTCTCTCCTGTTACACTGCACGTGACCACAATTTCCACATACAATTGACTGCATGTACTTACCATGCATGCAGACAGGGACTAAGCTGAGGCCCCTCTGAAGTCTGGACTTCCAAGGTAAGCTGGAAAGAAGCAGGCCACTGCAATTTCTTGACTTAAACTTGCTGCAACAGCACTTGCAAAACTAGTTTATCAAGTTAACATGGCTTGTTGAATCACTTCAGCAAACAGTGCTGTGATTATGAGCACCCGGCTCCACAGGAGCTGGTGGTGCGGGAGCCAGAGCTCTAGCACAGAAAGGACTATTTTTGGCTCTTTTACTTCCTCTCTGCCTATTGTACAGAGGAGAGCTGGGTCGAGTGAGGACGCCAGCACAACCCTCGGGTGCTTCATGGAGGCTGGTTTCGAGAGGGAGGAGGAGGAGGAGGAGGAGGAAAGGGAGGCAGCTGAGGCAAAGCAGAGGCAACAGGCGGCAAAAAGCAGAGGAGAAGGAAGAAAAGGAGAGAAAGGAAAGGAGGGGGCACCCCGAGGAGAACGAAGAGGAAGAAGGAGCAGCGGCGGAGCGGGAAGGAAGCGGGCGGAGGAGGCAGCCACGAGAGGCGGGCGCAGTCGGGGCGGAGGGAGGAGCGGGCAGGCGGGCGCAGCCAATCCAGGGGGCTCGTCCATTTTTCGGTGCGAGTCG